CAACCAAATAATTTTGACAACAGACACACACCGGCCAGAAAATATCCGCACGATAACCGGGGAAAATATGACCCCAGAGCATCACGCGACACGACTAATCCAAGTTGGCGACGACCACCACAAAATTTCCAGCCGAATAAAACGTCGGAATTTCCGAACAAACGAAATAATTTTCCTTTCAGTACCATCACTTGTGACTATTGTAAGCGTAAGGGACACACGATGTCAGATTGCTACAGAAATCCACAAAATCAAACAAAACCAACCGGCATTGTTTCAACACCGGATAACAACACGACATCTGTTTTTGATAGTAATAATACTAGTGATACTCAAGAGGATTTGATAGAGGTCAAAGCCAATGCTGACCCTATAATGAAAGTATTTGAACCATTTGTAAATGCGGCTAGTGTTTCACTTTTGAACAATCCAACACAACGTATTCCAGTTCAAGTATTACGCGATACTGGAGCGTCTCAATCTTTAATACTGACAAACACATTGCCATTTTCTGCGGAATCATATTCCGGAAACAATGTTTTGATAAAAGGAGTTCACTCCAGCGATTATAGTTCAGTTCCTTTGCACAACATTCGACTGCACTCAGATTTAGTCTCCGGAGATGTTTCGATAGGTATCATCGATACATTGCCTTTCGATGGAATACAATTGTTATTAGGCAACGATCTTGCGGGTGAAAAAGTGACAGTCAATCCAATAGTGACAAACAAACCAATGAAACCATGCTCAACATCAATTTCCGACGTCATTGAACAAGAAATTCCAAATTTATATCCATCGTGTGCGGTCACAAGAGCAATGGTAAAACAACAAGAATTAGAGAATAATAAAAGAGATGACCTTGATTCATCCTATGATTTGTCCGATACTTTTCTTACACAGTTATTTGATAGTGGCCCTAAAACAACACAGATTACGAAAAACGATGCGATAGACACAAAAAGCTTGTCAACATCTAATCTCATTCACGAGCAAAATAATGATCCCGAAATAGCTATTCTAATTCAACAAGCTTTCGATGAAAAAGAAATTTCAGACCAGGCAATGGGATACTTTATCAAAAACGATATTTTAATGCGGAAATGGCGACCACCTGATGTTAGTGTTGATGATGAATGGTCAGTTCGATACCAAATTGTTATCCCAAAACCTTAGGTTTAGCACACGAAACACCCCTTTCAGGACATCTGGGAATAAACAAAACCTATGAGAAAATCATACGACATTTTTATTGGCCTGGAGTTCGAAAAACCGTGGCAGAATTCTGTAAAACATGTCACACTTGTCAAGTAGTCGGCAAAGCAAATCAAGTTATCCCAAAAGCACCGCTAAAACCAATTCCGGCTTTTGAAGAACCATTTAGCCGTATTATGATTGATTGCGTCGGACCATTACCTAAAACTAAGCGAGGTAATCAATATTTATTGACAATTATGTGTGTTTCGACACGTTTTCCTGAAGCAATACCACTTCGAAATATCAAGGCTAAAACCATTGTAGAAGCACTTACAAAGTTTTTCACTTTAGTTGGTCTTCCAAAATCCATCCAGTCTGACCAAGGTTCGAATTTCACGTCAGGGTTGTTTCAACAAATTATGCACGAACTAGGTATTAAACAATACAACTCGTCAGCTTATCATCCGGAAAGTCAAGGCGCTCTGGAAAGGTTTCACCAAACATTGAAGCAAATGATTAAGACATATTGTTTTGAAACTGAGAAAGATTGGGACGACGGCGTCCATTTCCTTTTGTTCGCGGCTCGTGAGTCAGTTCAAGAATCATTAGGGTTTAGTCCATTTGAGTTAGTTTTCGGTCACACGGTTCGGGGACCGCTCAAGCTTTTAAAGGAAAAGTTGCTTACCGACGACGGTGGTTCATTGAATATTTTACAGTATGTAACGGACTTTCGTACCAAATTAACTAAGGCTTGTGACCTAGCACGTAAGAACCTTAAAACAGCTCAAAATCGCATGAAGCACAGTTACGACAAAAACACCGTAACTCGGAATTTTCAGAACGGAGATAAGGTTCTTGCACTTCTTCCGGTTCCTGGAAACCCCTTGCAAGCTAGGTATTTTGGGCCCTATGTTATAGAAAAGAAAGAGAATGATTTAAACTATGTAATCATAACTCCAAATAGACGTCGAAATAAACAGCTTTGCCATGTAAATATGCTTAAAGCATATCACGAAAGAAAGTAGTACAGTCAGTAAATGTAGTGAGTTCAGATAGAGATAGGTATAGTAATGAGGATGAATCTGAACTCTCTAGTTTGTCTGAGACAACAAAATTGAGCAACTCCGACGTTTTACGAAATATGGATTCGAAGTTATCTCATCTTCAACCATCTCAACGTCAGGATGTTCTAGACCTTGTTAATGAATATGCACAATTATTCCCCGACATTCCTTCTCGAACTGACATGATTTCCCACGACGTTGATATTGGCGACGCTTCCCCTATAAAACAACACCCTTACCGATTGAACCCATCGAAAGCAAAATACCTTGACCAAGAGATCCAATACCTCCTTGAAAATGATTTCATCGAACACAGTCAAAGCAGTTGGAGTTCACCCTGTATATTAGTTCCTAAACCAGACGGTAGTTATCGAATGTGTACGGACTACCGTAAAGTAAACAACCTCACGAAGTCGGATAATTTTCCCATTCCTCGGATGGATGATTGCGTGGATAAAATTGGAAATGCTAAGTATGTGTCGAAGTTTGATTTACTGAAAGGATTCTGGCAAATCCCTTTAAGCGAACGTGCCAAAGAGGTTTCAGCATTCGTAACACCACGTGGATTATACCAATACAAAGTGATGCCATTTGGAATGCGAAATTCCCCTGCCACCTTCCAACGCCTTATCAACCAGATAATTTCCCAGATCGACGGCTGCGAAGGTTATATTGATGACGTGATCATTTATAGTGACACCTGGGAAGAGCATCTGGAAATATTACGAAAGTTTTTCAAACGGTTAAGCGAAGCCAAGTTAACCATAAATTTAGTCAAAAGTGAATTCGGTTGTGGTCATGTTACATACTTGGGCCATATCGTTGGCCAAGGCCAAGTAAAACCCGTCAACGCCAAAGTCGAGGCGATTGCAGATTTCCCACAGCCTACAACGAAAAAACACATCATGCGACTGCTCGGAATGGCGGGTTATTATCGTAAGTTTTGCCCAAACTTTTCATCAATCACGGAACCCTTGACGCAGTTGCTTCGCAAGGATATGAAATTTGTTTGGACAGAACAATGTCAGAAAGCATTCGAGAAACTCAAAGCTATGCTCCAAAATGCCCCAGTTTTGTCGGCACCAGATTTCAACCGCCCCTTCAAATTAGCGATCGACGCGAGTGATGTTGCAGCCGGTGCAGTTTTACTACAAGAAGGTCAGTTTGGAGTTGATCACCCGGTATGTTATTTCTCTCGAAAGTTCAACAAACACCAGCGGAATTATTCTACGATCGAAAAAGAATGTCTTGCACTTGTTCTCGCGCTTCAGCATTTCGAAGTTTATGTTTCTTCAACTTCTGTTCCACTCGAGGTGTTTAGCGACCATAATCCTCTAATGTTTCTCCATAAAATGAAGAACAAGAACCAACGTTTACTGCGGTGGAGTCTCGTTTTGTCAGAATACGACATGAAGATGGAACATATTAAAGGACGAGACAATTTACTCGCTGACTGTCTATCACGACCATGAACATGCAATTATACGAACACGTTATATATCTTGTACTTTCAAGAAAGTTCTGCAAACTTTCTTTCCTTTAAGGGGGAGGGTGTAACATGGCAGTGTTATACCATGTTATTTAATATATTCAATACTATATTCAATACTATATATTCAGTATACTGTTATAATTATAAGAGGAAGACCTTAGGCAACCTTCCTCGCATGAATAAGCAAATATTTAGAGAGATTAAAGAACCACGGGAAACGCCTAGTACCACAAACCACGCAAACAGGACATAGTTTTGTGGTTGATAAACACTGCTAGAACTTGCTTTGACAAACATATTGCGTAGAGAAAATTAGTCATAGTTACAGATTTCTTCCTCTAAAATTTATTATAAAAGCTGGGCACAACCTGAGAGTCGGGAGGGGAGAGTGAAGTGAGAAGAGCCATTTAGGCTAAAATACTTCATAAGCCAACAAAGGCTGAAGTATATAATTAAAAGGCTAGATAATTAAGCCTCGTCAAGTAAACTGAAGAACATTGGAATATTGTGGAATAATTATTATTAAAGAAGACGGAATACAAAGTATAAAGAATATAGATTCAAAGTTGTGCTCAGCTCAAACAAATAGAGAGATAAGTTGATATATTAAGATTACTATATTATTACAACATTATAGAGACGCTAATTCATATTGTTGAAAGTAAATAAAATATATAAAAGGTATAAGGTTTCATGCTATTTGTGTTACGGTAGCGTTAATATAATTTGAACCCGAAGCCTAAAGGTTGAAAATATACCTAATTGGAAAATATATTTGACGCATAAATAACGCACCATAACATAAATAATAATAATAATAAAAATAGATTCCCTCCAGTCACCTACTCTATCAACACAGCCACCTAGTCAGAATAATTCTGAAAGCCCTATCAGTCACTGAGGCTTCTGGATTGTGTCATGCAACAATTTTTAAGAATTAACGTATTTTCATTGTTTAAAAAAAATATTTAATTTTGTACAGAAACCGGCTTTGCCTCAGTTGATTGATAGCTACACATTCTTAACGCGCACAGCTGAAGTTTGCAAATTTACACACGCTCATTTCGCCAACTTTATTACATGTCATGAATGACAATATTTCAAAGCCCGCGCGCACAACAGATATTTGCGGGTTTTTAACAAAATAATTGAGCGCGAAAACTAGATAAACATGTGGCTATGATAATGAAAATAATGAAAATGACGAACTTACCAAACTGTTTTCTTTAAAAGTCCATTCTGCGTTGTAATATTGCTTCTTAAATGCATTTAGTATCGTCCAGATATGTTGAAGAATATCATTCTGAAAAAAAATTGCATAATCAATCACAATAGCCCTGTATTTGTCTCGTTCTGCAGCGCTCTAACCAACTGAGATACAGAGTCCAGTTGTCTAAGGCAGGGACGCCGGAACTGGCGGGGGGGGGGGGGGGGGGGCAGCCGCCCACGTTGCCCTTTACCAGGAAGGGCAAGGGGGGCAAAGGTGCCCTTTCAATTTAAAGGGATTGCCTTGGCGAAATAGCGAATTGTCAGAAATTGTCAGTGCAATTAGCAAATTGTCAGTGCAATTCTTTTACGAATTTGCTTCAGAAAACGCAAGAAATGCAGTCATCGAGCTTCAAGAATAGCACATGATGGCCTGGTGGAGAACATCCCCCCCCCCTTATCATCCAATAAATAGAAAACATGATTAGGCGAAGTTCAACTCTTAGTATATATCAATTCAAAAGTGCCCTTTCACGAAAATCTCCCCCCCCTTGCCTTCACATCGTTCCGGCGTCCCTGGTCTAAGGTGATGCGAATGTAAGATGGTTAAATATCAGAATTTGGGCATCTACCCGCAAGTTCATGTATATACTTGTTACATTTCTAGCCAATAAAGAGGCGGCGTTTATCCACGCAATTACGTCCGCAGGCGTCATGTATTCCGTGATCGTCAACTGTAGTCTGGGCCACCTGGAGAACTGTCGCTGTCAACCCAAGAACCGTCAGAAAGTGCGCTCAAAGCCAAGCGAGAAGACTGGAAATTGGCATTGGGGAGGATGTAGCGACAATGTCGCATTCGGTGACTTGGTAGCGAGACATTTTGTCGACGCACTCGAAGGGAAACGAGGAAACACGAATGATGAGAGAAGAATGTTCAATTTACACAACAATAAAGTTGGCAGAAAAGTAAGTTTGGTGTACCGATTTTTGAGCAATTCTAACCCTCGCAAATTTTGCCCAAAACTCTGAAAAAGAATGAGTATAAGCACAAAATAAAGCAATAACAGACAAAAAAAAAAACATGTACAGAAATCTGGATGGGCAAGATTACGCCAGGATTGAGATAGATTGTAAATGGCATCTTGATGAATTGTTGTTTCAAGTTTTAGTCATTTTTTATGAAAATCTCAGTTACATGTTGCGCGGAAGTTCAAAGTTGTTTAATATGATTCATATATCATAACTTAATCCATTTACAATGTTTATTTTTAACTTTGTAGTTCAGTTTTTTAATTAAAGGCATTTTAGGTCAAAAATCGGTGACATTGCCCCTTTAAGTTTTCTTCACTCAAGTATTTTATTCCGATGCAGGATTGAATGAAAATGTGATTGATTGAAAGGGAAAATAGTTCTACAACAGTTGAACCTTTAGTAGACCTCTAGGGAGAACAGTTTAGAACTGATAGAGCTAGGACCATAGATATCTTATATACACTAGATAGTGCATCTAATTATTCTGCAATTCGGAAATTGAAGCCGTGATTGCAGTCTCAGGTCGTTCCCATGAAATGAGAAGATTCGTATGTTTTCTATTTCTTAAACAGGGAACTTAAACATTAAGTTAACCCTATTCCAAATACGTTTTAAACTATTCAAATGATGAAAGTTATTGTTGTTTTTAAGCGTTTATTAGCAAGTGGGAACGACCAACATGGCCGCCATCTATTCAAATGGGGGTAACCGCTGGAATATTCTTGGCTTCAATTTTACTAAAAGAGATGCGCTATCTAGTGTATATAAGATATCTATGGCTAGGACGAACAGCGCTATCCACCGGATAGTATATGAGTGAAACACATAAAAAACATATAAAAAAATAAAAAATTGAAAAAAATAAAAATAACAAAAAAATGAAAAGTTTATAATAAAAAATGGAAAAAATTTTGATATTATATTTGATAAATAATTAAACTAAATAACGATTTATAATTAAAGTATATATTTAATTTATAATAATTATAATAAAATATTATAATTTTAAAACTAAAACTATATAGTTAAAATATAATCATAATAACTATAATAATTATAATAATTATAATAATTATATAATAATTATAATAATTATAATAATTATTATAATAATTCAAAAAATTTATATTTTTATTAAATTATGTAATAAGAATAAAAAATTCCTGAGCTTGTAAAATTAGTTTAGTTTACTGATCTCCCCCCGAAATAAAAAAATACTAACATCATAATTTTTATTATTCAGATTGTAAAAGCAACCACAAAGAAAGTGTGTAAATGTCATGGTTCGTCGTCATCGTGCACCATGAAAACTTGCATGAAGAAGCTCGAGACCTTTAACAAAGTTGGTCAAGTGTTGTACGAGAAATATACAACTGCCATACGTGTTATATATCATAATGGTTCCCTGCGTGATGAAGCAAACAAAACAGTTACAAAAAAGAAGACAAAGCTCATTTATTACACACCATCACCTGATTATTGCCATGCTAACAGGACACTTAAAATCGCAGGAGTCGAGGGGAGAGTTTGTGAAGCCGCAACTAACTCGGATTTCAAGAAATGTCGAAAACTTTGCGAAGACTGCGGACTAAAAATGAAACTTCAGGCCGTAACACGGAAAGTAAAATGTAATTGTAAATTTGTCTGGTGTTGTTTTGTCAAGTGTGATGAATGCAAGAAACAAGTCTTCACGGCAACCTGCGTCAGATAAGAGTATAGTGACACACGCTTTTGTTAAAAAAACAGCCTTGTATAAAATATATATCACATATTAAGTTATTAACCCTGAAATATTCCATATTATGAGCAGAAGAACTCCTAATAACAGTCTTACAAAGTATGTCTTTAGAATATGGGGACCTAATCAAAGTTGTATGTGTTGGTGGAATGATAAAATAATTTTCAGACGCACCTGATTTGGAAATATAACTTAAATAAGTATCTATTGTGTTCTAAATGAAGGCAGAAGTCAGCCATTTTTTTGAGACCAAATGATAATCTCTTATTTCAGTTTCAAATATAAGAAACTTTAATCAATACTCAAAATAGTATGGTGATCTGGTTTTATTAAAGTTTAAAAAACTCATTAATAATTCATAAAGAAAACACAAAGAAAAATCATAAGCGTGTCGTATCTGTATATGTGATACAGATTCATGTTGATTTACATAAACTTTAACTTTGATTTTCAATTTTTCTCGGCTTAGACAACGTTTATTTTAAATTAAATCTCATTTGTGTCATTGTGTGGCGTGTTACCTCCGTCCAACATTTTTAGTCCAAGATAAAATGTTTCGGAAATTCCTTAAAAAAATCCTCAAAAACCTAAATTCCTTAAAAAAATCCTTACAGGTAAACTACGTGAAGCGTTCCTCTTTCGAGTTCCTAAGTCGATTGCAATTTTCGTCATTACCTTAGCAAATTTGCAAAACTCCCTTGCAAATCCCTTGAGGGAATTTGCAATGTTGCTAAAAGCAAAAAAAAATTCCTCAGTTCCTGTTAGAAGTTCTTAACTTCCTGTTACAAGTTCCTAACTTCCTGTTCTGTTCTGGGCGTTGCAATTGGCTAACAAAAATAATCGACCAATAACAACGCTCAGAACAGAACAGGAAGTTAGGAAATTAAAACAGGACGTTAGGAAAATTTAAAATGAAGTTTGGAATATTGCAAAAGCCGATAGGAACATTGCAAATTCCCTCAAGGGATTTGCAAAGAGTTTTTCAAATTTGCAAAGCTAATGAGGAAAATTTCAAATGAGTTACGAAGTCAAAAGAGGAACGCTTCACGTAGTTTACCTGTAAAACTCTTCAAAATTCCTATTTTTAAGGATAATTCCTTAAAAGTGAGAACACTGAAAATATTGCATCTATGATTGCATGAATTCATTTCCTCGAGTTGATCAATTCATACGAATTCAAATTTCTTTTTACTTCCTGTGCAAACCCTATTGGCCAATCGGTTCTGAAACGAAATCTAATTGGCTCATCTAAAAGTAACAGGAAGTTGATCAATTTTCTATCAAATGAATTGATCAACTTGAGGAAAGGAATTGGTGCAATATTTTATCAACACTTCTATTGCATCGACGGTAAAACAGAGATATTCTCCTCATAGTTTGGTGTCACACATGCAAATAGACTTTAAATAGATTTAATGATTGGGCAAAAAAAAAATATGTTGGGTTTCCGGTTTTAAAATTTTCCTAACAACCGGACGCCATTTTGTTTAGTCAGTGCTTCCACATCCAAAGATAAATTCCCTAATATTGCCTCAAATTTCAATTTTCCACAAACTTTTTCCTCTAAGTGGAAACACTTACAAGCATGATCCAATAAAAAAAGTTTACGGTGGGGATTTCGACGTCCAAAAGCTAGGTAGGGTCGGGAAACCGGGAACCCACATTTTTTTTTTGGCCTTGCCAAACTAAATATACGGACTATATTGAACCAGCTCAAAAGAAGTGACATATTCACATGTGGCAAACTCAACTAAGTTGTTTTCAAGAGTTGTATGACTAAGAACAGTTGTGTTTTTTATAAAAAAGTTAAAAATTGTGTAATTTATTAAATTTTTGTTCTGTACAAAATGTATATATTTGAATGTTCATCCTAATGGCCAAGTGCTGTTTTACAATGAAAGTTATTTTGGAGTGTTTAGTTTTTGTGTTTCACTGCTAAGAAATATGCTTTATCAGATAGACGACACTTGGCTCTCAGCCTCTCGCCTCGTGATTATATACAGGGTGTATCAAAAGAAGGTAATCGAACTTCAGCGCGCTATTATACGTGAAGCACTCGGCGTATAAACAATTGGTTTTCATATTTGGAAAGATCAGGCTTTTAGCTATTGAATGACATGCTTTTCATACCAAGTGGAGAAAAAATAAGCATGTACGCGGCCGATCAAAAATGTTAGTCAAAATCGCATATTTTCACCTCTGTGCCTAATTAAAACAATGCATAACAAAAGAAAAACTGTAGATGCATCAAATCTACGACACGGACGTGAAGAAAAACTGTAACTATTCCCACAGTTTCACTACACGGATAAAAATTATATATGGCTTCCAGTTGGTAAACAAAATCAGAGACACAAACACTAGCAACGGTTTTTATGACACGTCCGCGTCGTAGATTTGCTGCATCTTAAGCTTGCTAATAATTATGAATGCAATTCAATAATTCATCAACTTAAGTACCAAAGGGGGTTCATTTTCAATGGTTTTAGACCCAACTCTCAACGGTGAAAATATGCTATTCTGACTAACATTTTGTATCGGATTCATATTTGCTCATTTTTTATCCATTTGGCATGAAGATATCATTCAACAGCTAAAAGCATGATCTTTCCGAATGTTAAAAAATCTCGTTCATACGCAGAGTAATTCAGAAACAATAGCGCGCTGAAGTTCGATTATCTTTTTTTATACACCCTGTATATGTTATAAATCGCACAGTTTTTATACAATATAAAAATATCTAAACTATATAGAAACTCACTAACAAATATTGCAAAACTAACTTATATATATACTTACACAGGTTGTCATTGAACATCATATGCATTTGAACATCCAAAGCGAAGCTTCGTTCATTCAAAATCCATGTGACAAATTTTCCAATTTTCTAACTACAAATTCTCGATGAAATACCACAGCTTGTTGCTCTATTTTCCTAGCAAAACATACTTGAAGTCTTAAATATCGTTAGTTGCTGTTATATTTTCTTTGAATGAAAAAAATTGATTCTAAAATAACGTTTTAAAATCGACAATATCCAATCCTCGTGTTCTTTTGAAGTTTTAAACCCCGCGCCATGTCGAAACTGTGGGACTAGACTTCATGTAACCCTCATTATAATAAATCAAAATACAATACGATTACGATATCTTTGGGACTGTCAACCTCGTTGGGTACCTTAGCCTGGTTAGCCTATCTTACGGTATACCTTAGGATATCTTGGGCTTAGACTACCGTTTTCTGCCCTGAAAAATCAGTCAAACACAAACTAATTTCTTTTCATACACTATGTACGTGTATCGTTTAATCCCCAAATTGAATCATACTCCCCAAAATTTCACAAATATCCTAAAATCGTCAAAATACCTAGTTTAAAATACAATATTAAACAATAAAATTCTTAAAGAGCAAATAAATAAGAAATGATGAGTTTTTAGACTGTTGTAAAAGACAACAGTTAGGAATATGTACCCAGCAGCTCAAGAGTCCAATTCTGCAATAAAAAATTTGAAATGTCCAATATAATTTCAATAATTGTCGAATTCCGTCCAGACGGATAATAGATAGATAAATCTAATCAAATGAATCTAATCAGCTAACGCATATTTATACCGGTGTTGCCACGAAATTCGCATTTTCAAATAACTCGCATGCCTAGTTTGGTACCACTTTTTTTATAATTTAAACATAGAATGGAACAAAGGTAACCAAGCATATATGTGAGTGAATCGATAACTCACATGCCTAGTTACCACTGTTCTGAATGTAAGCACAGAATGGAACAAAAGATACAGTATACGAGTGAATTGGGTGGGATAACTCACATGCCTAGTTAACATTGTTCCGATAATGTAAGCATAAATATGACAAAAGAAACAACGTATTTAAATTATATATACAAGTGAATTAAATGGCATCTGGAATAAACCAGCGTTAGCTGATAGCTTGGAATTAACTATTGGTGGGTTTCAGTAAGCTTAACAGAGCAGCAGATGATGGTCAATTTCAGAAATGACTGACACTCCTAGAGGAAACTTTCAATATATAAAGATTACCACCTAAATTGAAAAGAATGAACATTATTTTCTCACTCTGATAACTGCAGGTTGACCAACATCTGCTGCACGATAATGCTCAGTGACACCCTCCAAAACCCACTGCTTTGCTTGGCCTCCTGGATTCAACGATTCCACAATTTCACCATCAAATTAACCATCCCCTACCACTGGTAATGACCACCACCGACCAACGTGCCAGCAAAAGGCGCCATATTGACCAGCGAATCTGTAGCATATGTCGTCGTCCCTGTGAAAATAGTTTTAGCCGGATAGGGGAAGTCATAGGGGGCGAACTTCGTACGGTCCACAGGCAAATCTGGATGAAGGGGTAAGCCAAGTACACGTGTGTGTATATCTGGTTGTTTGTTGAAAATTGAGCTCAGATACGATAAACCATTTTGGTCTAGTCTTCTTTGTTTTAGAGGGTGATTCTCGGTCATATTATTCGATGAGATTTCGCCATGGCTGTGTGCTCGCTTTCTGCCTAACAATGCTTCTACCGAGTAGTCGTTTGTGTTGGACTTGGGGTCAGAATTTGACTTTATTTCATGTATGCTCGGATTTGTGTTTTGGGATGGTTTAGGATCAGAAGAATTCTTTAGTTGATGAGTTGGGAGTCTTTGGTGTGCGTTTAGTGAAGATTCGCGTGTTGGTAAGTTTTGATATGTGTTCTGTGAAAGCTTATACTGCGAAGTCCTGTTTATTTCATGAATTGGTGGTCCTGTTTGGTGTTGTGAATTGAGGACATGATAAGATCCCCGGCCAGCGGGGGTGAAGGGGTTAAACATTGCACTCGGATGACGCGGTGGGGGTAGGAAGATCGGAGGAATAAAGGGGGTAAGGGGGAGGGTGTTTGCAAACGGAAACGTAGGGTAAGGAAGGGGAAAGTTTGTGCTGTGTTTGAGGGAACGAAGA